GGCAATGTGACCTTTTCATCAGTGGCCAGCTGTTGGGTTGGCTCATTTATCCTGGGGAACCTTACCATATTAAAATTATGTTGGATTTTCTTTTGTCTTTAGCAGTTTTCTACTTAAGTGCGCAGTTGCTGGATGTTACATATGCTTTTTCACTGGGCTTGAATGTTTTTAACATGTCCAGAAAGCTTACCAAAAGCAGTCCCTTAAACTCTCGGTGTGAAATAAGGCAAGAAAATCTAGCTGACAACTAAGGCAATTAAACTGTGAGGTCTACAATAGAATAAGAAACTGAGTTTACTGAATCTGGTTGTTTCACAAAATTGGGAATGTAGAGGTTTTTACATTGTTTTAAGTAGCATTTTGCATGGGGAAAAGGTAAACATTTGCTCTCCTGGACTGGAGTTGTGTGAACACTTGAATTCATCTTATGCCTTATTTATGGGTTATACTTCTATGCAGAGGAAGAAGGTTACAACTTAATTCTGGTGTGTGTGTGACAAACAAGAAGGCTGAGTTTGCTGTTTTGTCTTGGCTAATATAGCTAGTGTCCCTTTGCCTTCATTGTAGCTTTAAAAGCCTGCAGTCACTGAGACTTCAGTGTCAGTAAGTCATTTGTCTGTGGAACAACATTTTGCACATATCACTGCATTGGATTATTTATTGTACCAGTATTTTTCTTGGAAATAGTAATGCAGGCATCTTACCATGTGACTTACTTAAAAAGCCACACCACCTACAACAAATAAACCCTTCTACTCTTAAGTAATTTTTTTTACAATCTAGTAGGTTTCTGCTGTTACATAGGTTACATTTTCTCACCCTTCAAATAAGAAAAAGTTAACAATTGCAGAAGGAGCATACTCCAGGGTAGTGAATTTAGATAATTATTATGAGAGAGGGATTTGTTTATCTTGCTTCTGTATTTCTGTTCTTGTCGCAATCTTGCTGTGAGAGAGCTGTTCTCATAGGGAAATGTTTTTAAATGTTACCTTAGAACCTTTAAATGAAAAATGCAATCTTATGTATGAAACACATTAGTTTTTAATTGGACATTGATTGTACGGTCAATGCAGTGAATGAAAAATATAAAGCCTTATATGTATGGATGCATGCTGCATTGACAGAGTTGGAAATTATATACTGTGTGAAACAGTGGGACTACTATCTCTTGTTATCACAAAAGCCCAAATGTCCCAGGGTGCCTGAGTGTGTGTCAGTCTCTTTGTGTCACTCGTGCTGAAGTCTCTGGGTATTTGGCTGCATGCCGTGTTGGTATTTGGCAGTCTGTTTGGATTTATAACACCATTTAAGGTTTCTAAGTGTGGCTGTGGCACCAGTGCTTTGAGGACCTTCAATTTTGTGAGTTTTGGCATGCTTGAATAGAAGGGAAATTAAATGCATGCCTAAGAAAGCCTAAGTTTTGTGTGATATCAATCATGGTCTCTTAACAAATGGCTAAAAGCAGTGAGGTATCTTGGAAGATCAGGTGGAATTGAGCAGCCCAGTAGAGCCCAGAGCTGTCCATGTATGTGTTGTAGTTTAGCTCTTCAAGATTCCTACGTCCCCTTTCTTAAGCCACAATCAATCTGTTACCACAAATGTGCAAGGCAGCCAGGTGCAAGAAATATGAAAGTTATCATTTAATGTGATGTCAAGTCTGTTCTTATGTACAGAAAATGTCATCTGATGATGTTTCCTTTTTTTTTTCGTTCTGCATATGTGAGTGGCTGCAGTTCTTTCCGATCGCTCACAGATGTTGCCATTGTCTATTGTTTGCACAGTGCTGCTTGGGGTAGTTTTGCTGGGCTGAAAAAGGAACAGCCTGTCTATGTTCTCACTGCATGAAGTACAGCTCTGAGGGACAAAGCACTGCCCCTGCCTTTTTTTTGGCAGGATGTGGCACAGGTTCTTCATTACCAGAGTTTTGCTTCAGGGTTGGTGGGCTCTTCTGTCTTGAGGCCCCAGATGATGTTCCTGGCAGTGCCATTGCATTTCTTCCCCTAATAAAATTGAAATAGCAGAAATAATGCATTTATTTTGTTTTATGTAAGTGAAATACCTTGAAGCAAAATGTCACCTTCAGTAATCAGTGATGTAGATTTCCTCCTTACTAGTGCTGGCAGTCTTTCCTCATTTTTCTAAATTTCTTATGAGAAATTCATGCAGAAACTTAACTGCATAGGGAAAAATGTTTAGAATAAATATATGCTAGTGAATTGTTATTAATTGATTATTTTCTATTAAGTATGCTACTACATACAGGAAAACTTGTGTATGACTTGTGTATGCAAGTAGGTGTATTGGTTTTGTGCAGAACCTGGAAGTTTTAATTAATAAGTCAAAGTGGTAGATAGACTGTTTGTAATTTAAAGAAGAAATTGAGCACTATCTGGAGAGAAATCAGGTTTTGCTAGCCTGGACATTTGGCACATGATGAGGACAATTTTTTTGTAATTATTTTGTGTTCCTGTATGTTATGGATATTATCTATGTAATGCAGTCTTTTAGTTTAGAAGTAACATAGTTGTGATCCAGAAGATTACTGTGCAGACACATTTTCTTGGTTTTGATTTATTTTCTTTGTATATTGCTGTAGTGCCATCTTTGTGATTCCATATAATTTTTTTATACTGGATTTTATTCTAAGGCATAATTTAAGGAATTAAGACTAGCAACTTTTTGAGCCAGTCCTGCTCTGTTACATGAGCATAGCCATCTTCTAGAATGAATATGCTGAGTAGCTGTTAAATACTATTATTATGAGTGATGACATGCATGTTTGAAAGAATTCAGCTTTGTTTTCAGGGCCCATCTTAATTTGGCAGGGGTAGTAATCACAGGGAGAGGTAAAGGGAACATTTCAAATGTTGCTGTGATGCTTGAGGTATGTCATTTATGTTGTGGGGAAATTGTATGTATTTTCACACTTGTCTCTTTTCTAGAGAAAAGAAAAATCTGGTGTGAAAATACAGTAATTTTCATTAAATGTTGTTTTGAATGCTGTTACATTTTCATTAAATAACAATGAATAGTCATGCTTTTCTTGAAGGTAGTTTTCTGTTCCACTACATGTGACAGTCGAGGTGTAGAATTCTCCTGTCTGAGGAATGACCTGTGGGCACCTTTTGATCTGTTATGGCACCAGTTCTGCATTTTTTAATTTCAGTGTTACAACCTCATGTTTGTGCAGATTATGAATGACAGACTATTCTAGTGAGACAGCTACTACACTGCAAAATAGAAACGAGAAAGTCCTTGTGATCAAATTGAAGAATGGAAATGGCTGGTGGAAGGTTTTGTTCCAACCTTCATCCTGATACTTTTGTCTGAAATTAATCTGATTAAAAACTACCTACCTTAGGCTTTTTATGAGCTGTGTTAGGTCAGTTGCAGGCATGGAACAGTGAAGGTATGATCTCTATAGCTGGTTACCTGAAATACCTGTTTCTGGAAATTTTTATTAGGTAAAGATCTGAGTGCTTCTGTTTGGGGGACAAGGGAAGAGCGACTGATGTCTAGTGAAAGGTGTCCCTGCCCCTGCAGGGGGATTGGAACTAGATGATCTTAAAGGTCCCTTCCAACCCTAACCATTCTGTGATTCTATAATTCTATCATTCTTCACTTTTAACTGATTCTGTGATTCTATAATTCTATCATTCTTCATTCTATCATTCATTGCCCTTGGGCTAACTCAGCTAGTTTGTGCTTAAAAAAACTCAAAATTAACATCAAATCGGTATTTTTAATCTCTGATCAAAACATGATTGAGTAAGATCAGGATTAACATTTTGGAGTTAATAGTGAATGAGCTGGTATTTTAATCAAGGATCAAAGTACATGGTGTTAGATAAGAAACATTACCATGTACTGGTTATGGTTGACTTGTTAATGACTTCACAGGCGTTCTATGGAGGTAGAAATTACTAACTTTGAGGGTTATATCCTTTCTTTGTAATGGCAATGTAATCTCTGCTCAGTCAGCTTTAGCTATCTTTTGTGTCCAGCAGAAGTAGCACAGTCAGCATTTTTATTGCAGGATTTCCTGTTCTTTCCTGTCTAGATTAGAGTTCTAGAAGTATACTTTATGGAATTCACTTGCAAGAAGCTTTTATTATTGTTTAAATGGGGGTATATGTGTTTAGTAAGAAAATATTTTGTATACTCATTTATACTAGTAATACTTCCCTGTTTTGTGCACAGAAGTGAATGTGTATGTGTGTAAAAGCATATATATGTAAATATACAGAGAAATGAAAAATGTATTTGATTCAAGAGCCAAATATTCTTAAGGAAGGAAAATTGCTCCAGTAAGATGAGTTTTATCTTTTTGGAAAGATGCATATCAGGTGTTAATATTCCAAACTGCTTTATTTATGTCCCTGTTATTAGTGACATATTTTGTTTCCCATTAAATGTGTGGGGTGAGACTGTTTAAGTATGAAGTTACAGTAGTGTTTATTGATATGAAAAAGCCAAGAGAGACAAGTGCTTTGGCACAGGAATAAGCTGGTGTCTGTAGCCTCATCATGCTCATGGTTCCTGCACTAAGGCACAGGCTTTGAGGTCTACTGTGCATTTGTTATGGAATGAATATGGGTAAAAGATGTACCTGGACAGCCATTGCAGAGTGACTGAGACATGATGACTTGTGTGAAAAAGACCTAGTATAAGGTGACATTTTGCTTGATAGCATTAATTGGAATGATTTATCCTAGTTAGTCTTGTCTATGTGTGGCATTTGTACAGTATGTAACTTTGGATATAATTAATGTAATTTTTCATTTGTTCCTGTAGCATGAGATTGCGATCTTAATGTGAGTTCTTGAATTCTGAATCTTGTATTTCAAAAGAATCGCAAACAGAAGCATTTACGTTTGTTGTGGCAAGCTGTCAGGGATGGTTATTCTACATAGAAATACCTTTGCTACACTCTCTTCTTATGTATTATTAGACTGACTTCATGTTTCCATTTCTGACATGGTTTTTTCCTTCTCCATTTCCAGGTGAAGCAGGAGCTGTAGAAGGAAGACCCTGTGGCTTGCAATCATGCCATTCCCCTTTGGCAAGTCCCATAAGTCTCCTGCAGACATAGTGAAGAACCTGAAGGAGAGCATGGCAGTTCTAGAAAAGCAAGATATCTCTGACAAAAAGGCAGAAAAGGTACATTTGGGAATTTCCAGTTGCTAAACAGTAATGGAAAGGGAAAAAAAAAAAAGAAATTTACAACAGTTGAAGCTAAATCAATTAGGAATTAATTTTAGCTTTTATACGCTGACAAAGGGCAAGGTATTGTGTACCATGTACTTTTAAACAAGAGGTTTTTGTATTTATTGGCTTAGTGTTTTTATGCCACTGGCAGCTGATATGATACCTAATGTAATTTGGCTTGGAACTGTAGGATGTTGCATTCTTTAATAAGCAGCTCACAGCCATGCAGTGTTCTAGTACTTGTGTCCACAACAGTGGCTTTACTACTGTGCAGTAATTTTTCTGTCTGTGCTTGTCCGTGCAAATGTTTACAGAGGAGTGTGGCTATTACTGAAATGGAAGCACTTGTCTCCGTAGATGTCAGTAGAGGATATATTTTCACCTGTCCTTGCCTTTCCTTAAGTGAAAAGTCCCTGTGCTAGTGCAGTTTCCTTTAGATGGGATGGTTTGCTAATTCAAGATCTAACCTATCTTTCAGGATCTGTACCTTGTTACAGTCATTTACTAGTAGTCTCGAGGGCTTTGCTGAAAAGTTGCCTTCAGGTTCAGCCTGTGTGCAGCTGCACCCCACCTAGTGACTTGTATGGCAGGAGGATTTACTCTTTAGATCCAGTTTTTCCTTATAAACTCAGCACAAGGGCATAGGTTACAATACTTATTTTTAAAAAAACAAACCCAAAATCAAACAAAAAATAAAAGTGACCAAAATATCTCCCTCCCCCATCTACCAGCTTTTGAGGCAGGCTGTGAGACCTGTCTTTTATTCCCTCCTGACATTGTTTTAAGTGTTCTGTGCCATTCTTGGCATCTTTGCAGAGTCACATATAGGAGTTAGTCACAATCTTTTTCATTTTCATCAGCATTTTAAAGCAGAATGTGGCCAGTTTCTTTACGTCCAGGTTCACTTAGATTTGGCACTGCTACTTGAAGTGCAGGAGAATTTGGGTCTTAACTGAATTGCAAATTTGATCCTGATGCTCTTCAAAATTATCATCTTCTGCCCCAGTACCTGGTATGTTCCAAGTCTCTTGCAGTGTACCATAGTGTTTTTCCCTAATGTTTTTTTTTCTCTTGTTTGAGCTATTGTTTTGCAGGCCTGTGTGGAGGCTGGAAGGATTTTGATTTGCTGCTGCTTTTTTTTTTTTCTTTAATAAAGACATCTGTCAGGAGAGATGGGGTAGGTGCGTTCTGAAGAGTCTGTGATGAGACATAGCTCTCCCTCCTTCATCTCAGCCTCATTATTAATTCCTGGAGATGTGGCTTGATCTTAAAGTCTGTGCTCTTTCGTGTCATCTTTTTCTTTTTGCTTAGACCTCTAATGGGGAACAGGCCAGCTTCATTCCTTTGTGCATAGCTGTGCACTGTATCACATGCCTGTGTTCCTGATGCTGCAGCTGAAGATTATTATGTACCATGTGCTTCTTGCTGGCCTTTAATCCTCTACCTCCATGTTCTTTAAAGACCTCATTTATGTGAGTCTGCTGCTCTGTCAAGAAACAATATGCTAAGCCTGTGGAGTTTATCCTGAGTTGTATAGAAAGCAGCACATTCTGCTTGAAGGAGAAAAGAGGGCAGCCCATGTTCACTAGGTTAAATGTGAGGAGAATTAAATACTGACCTTCACAAGACTGGGCTGGGTATGTTAGTGCTGGCCTTTGTCATCCTCGTTAGTTACGAAGACTAGTGGATGAATTTCAACATTCACGACACCGGTATCCACATCTCCTTATGGATATTCTTCAGGAAATAGTTGTCATTGGCAAGCCAGGACTTCCATGCAGGTGACTGTGGTTGTAGCAGTTTATCTCAGGCTCTCGGGTTGTTTGCTGGTTTGGTAGAAGTTCTTCAATATCTTATGGACCGGGCATCACATCACTGAGGGTGATTAAACACCCTAAATTTGTGCCCTCTTCCTGTCCAGTCTATAGAAATGACAGGAGGAGCTTTGAAGTTAAAAGATGTCATGAGTCTGAACAGTAGCCATTATTTAAAAAGAAGAAAAAATTCTACATGCCCTTATCTCAGTATTTAGGCATTTTTTTATCTTTCACTGCTGCTTTCATTACTATGGTCCTTCCTGCGATATATCTTCCCAGCCTCCTTTGGTGAAGAATGCTGTGCTGCTGATAGGATGAGTTCTGTGGCTAGTAGTGGAAGAAATACAGAAAAACTCACTAGATGTAAAGCACAAAAATTATGACCCTTTAGGAAAAAGGGGAAGAATGGCAGGGTTTTTTATCATTCCATTTTATTAGTGATTAGACTTGTATGAAATCTTTCTCTCTCAATGATTTCTGTTTTTTTGTTGCTGTTTCATCTGGGGGTGTGTTTTGTAGCCTGTCATATAACAGCAATGAACTTCCAAGGCATGGTACATACTCAGTGTTGGTTTACTATTTGTGGTAAAGTCATTCCTTTGGGTACAGACAATACTTACTTACCCTGCACTACTTTTTTGTTAAGTACGCAGAGTTGCGTATTTTCTTTAATCACAAACATACGGAATTTGAAATATGTATGTAGATTGGACTAAAAAAAAAGTTTGGCACATGTTGAAGTGAAGTGAGTTTTTTAAAATTTAATTGGAGGTTCCAGAGACAAACGAGTAAATGTCTACTGCAGTAACACGGTGGGTTTATTTTTTATATATATTTCCCCACAGTTCCCACTGCACAGTGGCAGCACAATGCTGTTATGAAATATTTAGTTTGCTACTATGAAGAGGAAGCTTGTTGACAGTTTGCCAAAACATTTGCAAATACAGATTTCTAAGAAAATGAGACAAATAATTTTCCATCTAAATTATCCAGATTAACCCAAATTAATTTCCAAATTATGCTTGAACAGAATACTTCAGGTTTTTTCAGTATTTAGATTGAAATTTAAAACCTTCTTTGTTTTGTGAGAGGAAGGAAAAGCAAAGGAGGTAAAAGAGATTCTTAAAGCTTGGACAGTGCGTGTTCCTGTATGTTGTTTATAACCAAAATGGCAGACATTCTTCAAAACAGAAGATGTAGAACAGTAGTGGTCATGAGGTGTCTTGTTCAATTATGAAACATTCTGTCCTATAATGCTGGAAAATTTATTTTATAAATTAAAATCTGAAATTCAAAAAGTGAATTCTAGTTGCATGTTCATCTACCTTTTTTTGAGCTCTATGAATACTGGAGAAAAAAATAACCAGGTTCTTCTCCAGGTCATTTGGAAACTTTGTTGGGGTCTGTGGTATGTGCTTAGGAAGTGAGCTCTGAAGTGGCTGTGAAAGCTGCCCGGGGTGTCACTGCAGCACCAGGGGTGTGTTGGCTGCAGCATTTCCTTTAGGATAGAGGAGGGGGATGGCTTGCTGTCTCCTAGTATTTTGGAAGGGAAACTTGAAATGGCGATGGTAGTTAATTGAGAATGTATTAATCACATATGCTGTTAGTTTTCATTACTTGTGTCTTTTCAGAAAGAGGCTGAAGGGAAGGGGAAGGAAAACTGTAAAAACCGGACCTACCCTTGATCTAGCCCATTAGTCAGTCTCTCACTCGTATCCCTTCCTCCTCTTTGGCTGGCATCAGCGTTTATTTTTATGCTGCCAGTTCACTTGGTTTGTGGCACGTGTTTACTGTTGTGAAGGTAAATATTTACTCATGTAATAAACTTGTTCTTCCCTACCCTCTGACCTTGGGTTAACCTGCTCCTAACAGCTCTGGTTTTGGCTTTTGGATAATTATTTCAGCCATGTTGTTAACCCATGCGGGTTGACTATCGCAGGCATGGTCGGTCTGTCTTCATTAAGTTCCCAGCTCTGTATGAGAGACAGTCTGCTGCATTTATGGGATAGTGCAATATGCTATTTTGATTCAGCTGTCTGAGTGTAACATGTCATGTTGCCACAGACATAGCTCAGATTTCATTCAGTGAGTTAACACTGTCATTTACAAAGCAGTAACATTTAAAATTTGTTATGCATGTGTGTGCAATTAATTAGTGGTTGGAAGAAGACTAAAGGTTAAGTAATTTGCCTTTCCTGCTGCATGGGGCTGTTACTCCAAAGGTACAGATGGGGCTTCTTCTGGAAGTAATGGGTGAGAAGATAAGCCTCTCTTCTAATTGAACTTAGCTTGTTAATGCTAGATGTCTGCAGAAAAATAATGCTATCATTTTGGGCCTTTAAAATAAACTAGTGGTACTGCTGTAGATAATAATACATCTAGAGAATTGTATGGCTTTGTAAGTGTTTGAAATCTAATAAATTTAAATAGAGTTAATTAGCAAAATGGTGTTTGTTACTTATGATAGATACTGCTCTAGACTAGTGAAAAGATCCACCACATACAGGCTCAAAATTATAGCTAGTTTACCTTTGTGATAGATGCTTTCATTAATAGTGCAGTTTATGTGATTGAGTATTGATGTGATAGAATCCATAGCCATAGACCCACAGCCTGCTCAGCTCACCTGAAATACTTAAGGACTCATCACGTGTCCTTTATCTTTTTCTACTGATTCTTGAAGTAAAGGCAAATGTAAATACTTGAGCTGTACAAGTCTAAATGAAGTATTTGATGTTTGTTCTGCTTAGCATTTAAGGAAATAGTGAATTCTGGGTGAGGTTGTAGAGTGCCCATCTATAAAGCTGTTCAGAGCATGGCTGACCATTGGTCTGGTAGGACTTTGGGGCTGACCCTCCTTGAGGAGGTGGTTGGACCCCGATGACCCTCTGAGGTACCTTGCAATGTAAGCTGTTCTGTATTTATCTGTCTCTAACCATTACTTCCCACTAAAGCTCTGTTTCATTCCAGTTCAAGTGAGGCACATTCTGATGTTCTTGACAGTTGTGAACAGCATGAGAAATAAATATAAGTGCTGGTGTCTCTTCTTGAAGTTACTGAGTTTTATGTTCATGCTAGGCCGGAAGGCTTTTTTAAGGAAAAAAAGCCAACCAAACAACAAAAAAACCCACCCCACTCAGTATTTGGAAACACTGTATTTTTTTTTTTCTGTCTGCTTCGTAAGCTTTTCCATTACTATCATCTTTCTTGGGGTGGTGGTGAGGGAGGGTGCCTTCAGTTATGACTATTAACATTTTGGGAAGATTATTTTGTTCTCTGAGGTTTTGGTATGAAAAATTCTCCACTGGCATTTTTCTTAATTTCAGACATACCCCCTCAGTATTGCCAACATCTTACTTAAAATAGGTAGCTTCTTGAATGTCTGCCTTTCTTCCTCTTTCATCTTGCTTTCAAAATTAGTGTGCAGGGACAAACTGCAGTAGAATTTCTATTGCTCCTTCCTCTTTTCTTGGTATCCATGCTTCAAAGGTAGTTCTTCAGATCTCTACATTTGACAGATGTTCCTGTTCTTTTCCTAGTAAAGAGATATTTCTTCTGAACTTTGAAGAAATAGAGCAGTTGTGTGGTGTAATACTACTACTATCTGGTGAGCTGGCTTTCTCGTTTTGTCTTCAGAAGCTGTCATGAATCTGAGCAGTCTTATCAAGCACCTGCTTCTTGATGTCTTGCTAACAGTGCACAGAAAATCCTTTGGAATTTCAATTAAGGAGGAGACAACTGGGACTAGGAGCCGGCAGTTAGTAAGGGGAGGGAAGCAGCAGATAATGGAAAGATTTGGAGGAGCTAAAAATTCTGTGGAGCCTCCTTAAATGTCATGGAATCTTTACTTGCATACCTAGCAAAGCTGAAATGGCTTTGACTTTGACTTGGGTCATGCTGGTATTAAGCCTCTCTAAATGCACAAATGAGAAGTCTTTTTACATACCCCTTAAAAGACAGGCAGTAACCAAAAAGTGATCATTTTTTTACTTAATTTTACTTGTGCTACCAATCATAAATACTTCACATGAAAGTGTGTCCATAGTTTGTTGGCAGGCTCATCTAATTACTAAAAATTAGTTCACTTACACTCCATTCACACTTGTTAGGCATGTGAAGAACTAATACAATATAATGAAACCAGTTATTTGTGATGATATTTTTCAGCATTTGGTCCCCAAGCTACATAAACATATATATTGAAAGGAGTAGTTGTTCTTTTTTTCTCCCAGGTGCTGTGTTCTAAGAGTCAGAAGTGAATCAGATAACTCTGCTTCTACTGCTAAATGTTGCTTCAGCACATCACAACAGCATAGGAATTCCTTGCTCTGGCTTCCCTTGGCAAGAGGTCAGACCTCTGTCTTTCTTAAGATGGACTTCAAATAAGAAGCACTTGAGAGTTTTAACTGTATTGCTGTATTTTTTTGAGTGCACCTCTTTCTGGGTCTAGTTGTCAGTTTCTTTTGTATACTGAGCTAATAAAGGAGGTTCTCTTCAAGGAATTGTTAGTTGGAAAAGAAAAATTTTGTCCCCACTGACTGGGATGGGAGCCTTGTATTTGAGAAAACCTCATGAGTGCAAAATCCGTGGGAGGGGTGCATTTGCTCTCTCTGAGCAGTTTGCTAGAAACAGGCAGGTGTCTCCCTGTCATGTTTTCCAATTTCATCCTGTGTGTACCTGTTTTATAGAATGGAATTTTTTCAGGTCCTTATTATCCCACTGCTGTTCTTTCAGGGATTTTTGAATGGGAAGTTTAAAGGCAATAAAAAGCAAGAGACTTTTTTACTTTTGGTAACTGGTCAAAAAATTTGCATGTGTCTTTGCCTCTGCTTTTTTTTTTTAAATAACATATAACAGTCTTATTTGCAGAAAGATTATCCATTGTTTTTTAACAAGTTGTCATTTCCTGATTATTTTTTCCCCTTAATAGAAGTTTACAGAATACAAGAATAATAGAGTGCACAGTTACAAAGACAAATGACATTGTACTCTAACTGTATTATTTTCCCATTTTCTTTAGGCCACTGAGGAGGTCTCAAAAAACCTTGTTGCCATGAAAGAAATCTTGTATGGCACAAATGAAAAAGAGCCACAGACAGAAGCTGTGGCACAGCTTGCTCAAGAGCTATACAACAGTGGTCTTCTTAGTACCCTAGTAGCTGACTTGCAGCTAATTGATTTTGAGGTAAGAGAATAAGTTTGGCATTACTTATATTGTGTATGTTAAAATAAATACGTCTGAGTTTGTTAACCTCAGTTGGTTAAGACAACTTCTTATCTTCAGCTTTTTTTTCAGGCTGGAACAAAAACTCCAAACTACCTAGAAAACTGAGATCATACAGAACATGAAATCCATTAATTTAGTCACATAAACTACACAAAATTGGAGTAGATAAATCTGTAATCCTGATGTTACAGTTCTGTTAAAGTTATGTAATAATTCTTAATTGCTGTATACACAGAAGGGTTAATCAGTTTGTAATACCATAGTAAATATAATACTACAAGATAAGTCTATATTCTCACCTGATTATATTAAATTACTTTAAAATGCTTAAGGTAAGGCTGCTATGAAAAACTAACAGATCAGTATTTCTCTCTCTTCAGAAACAAGTGGTGCAACCTTTTTTCCTCATCTTTTTTCTGTTTATTAAAAAAAAGAACAAATTCAAGTTTTGTTGATTACTTTAAAGTAGCAGTACTTAATTGGTATTCACACATGCCTCTATACAAATCTCTATCTGGCATTTGTCACCACATCATATAGAATAATTTAGCTTCCCAGTGCCATAGTGAAAAATCACCCTATTTAGTTGTAATTGGGTTCTCCTCTTTTCCCTGAGGTCCTGCAAGAACCATTTAGTTGTCTAGGAAAGGAGCCAAAAATCTGTGTATCTCACTCCACAGCCTTGACCATAAAGACCATCCCATCTAAGGTTGCCTAAAAATGATACTGTTCATAAACAAGTTGTTGATGTTGCTAGAACAACAGTTTAAAGTCCTATTGTAGTGTGACATTCCAAAAACAATGGCTTTCTTCCCTGTTCTTTCTTCTCTCCTCTGCACCCCACCCATAGCTCCCTCTGATTTGTGTTTAATTGCCATTCTGGTGGTATTTTTTTTCCCCTACCCCCACAACTGTTTATACTAAACATAAAACATTCAAGTTGTTAAATAAGCAAGGAGACCTGGGAAAGCTGGGAGGGAATGCTGAAAAGAAATGGCCTTTAATTGCAGAAGAAAGGAAACGGTGAAACGTCATCTGGATTCTGCTGACCTCTAGATTCTTATCAGCTTGGTGTTTACTCAGCCCGGTTATTAGTGGAGGAAATCTTCATTATCTCCTGGTAATGAAGAATGATAACAATTTGTACAGGCTTACTCTCATTAAGGACAACTATTCATTTTACTCTAAGGGGACCTGAAAAGATTGCAGGTAGTTTCCTGCTTGTGGACTTGCTTCTGCCTTGTTACACAAGGGTATAACGGTTCCCCCTGGAGAGAGAACAGGTCATTCATGCTGCTTTCTAGTCTGGACCAGGTCTGCTTTTTAAGGATAGGATCTGGCGGATTGTCCAGCTATTGTTGTTACCTAGGATTAATGTCAACATACCTGTGCTCCTAATCTGCAGTAGCTTCCCAGCTGTTACAAGGTCAATCAGATGCTGCCTTTGATATCGCAGACCCCTGTGGCTGGGGGTTTACTGCATTGGAAATTACTTCTCCATTACTGATGAAGATATGAACTTGATTTCCTGTTGGCTCTTAAACTTGAAGATTAGGTCTAGAATTTATTCCTTCTGGTGCCCCAGTGCAGCCTGAGGTCATTCAGCAATGAAGTAAGCATAATTTTTTTGTGTGTCAAGAACTTCACTCTCATACTTGGAGGTTTCCTTGTAGAGCAGGAGTAGTGAGCTAATTAATAGGCAGGGGCTGTTCACTCGTGACTCTTTAAGCTGTCTCATATTTATTTGAATCTGAACAGTATGGTGAAAAAAACCCAGAAAAGTACAAAGTAGAAACCAGAAGTATGTAGTGTTTTAATTAAGAAACTGTCTTGTTTGTCCAGACCTTGCTGTATGTAAAGGTCTGTTTAAAATTATTTCCTTAACAGGAAGATTGTTTTCCAAGTAAAGCTGTCAACTCAACACAACCATGTACTTACCAGTCTTAGAACCTGACCAGTTATCTCCATGCTGATTCATGCTAGTGTGTCTGTAGGAGAGGTGGTATCCTTTGTGGAACTGTTTTTTGTTCTTGTTTTTAATTTAAAAAAAACAAAACAAAACACAAAAACCAACCAAAAAAAACAAAAAGGCCTTTTGCACAAGGGAGCCTGGATCCTTCTGTTCAGAAAACAACACTAGCACAGTCTCCCTCTTACCTCTTGCAGTCGTGACTATTGGCACAAGGTTCAGTGTCTGTTTGCCCTTGTTAGGCCATGAGATCACTTTGTAATACGTTCTTCCAACAATAACTAGCTTTGGTATAACTGTGTACCACTGTCTGTTCAATTCTGTGCATAATAAGGAAATGCTGTTCTTGCTGGGGAATCCAAAGCAAGTTGTGAGATCCAGAGCAAAACTGGCAATGTTAGTGAATGAGAGTTGATGACTGTATTATGTGGAGTTTGAGTAAAGCAATTTCTGGAAACACTGCTCTACTCATTTCAGAACAAAGAATTCTGGTGTTACTTTGGGCTGCCTTTCAATGGAATTGTAATTGAGAAAACAAGTATTCACAAACAAACTTTTATATCCTGCAAACAACACTGTAACAAAGCCATCCATGGCAATTCACAAACATGCCACTTGTAAAACTTCAGTCCTCCTACATTTTTATAAACATTGTTTTTTTTCTTATTCAATCCTGACATTGATTAAAAAACTTAAGCTTTGAATAATTGCTGTTGCTTTAAAAATCCTTAATTAAATATGCCTTGCATTTTGCTCAAAAGCTTGCTGGTGTTCCTCAGAGCATCTGTAGTACAACTGGAGATGGGCAAGAAATATTATTATCTATTTTTTTATATAGCATTCAGGAACCTTCAAGTGGAGTTGCTTAATGGGCCTGTATTTGCAAGTCCAGAATTAGTATAAGTTTGCATAGGCTTTTTCTGGATCAAATCTGGCAACACACAGGAATGAAATTGTCTTTATGGCAATCCAAAATGGAAGGTTAGTTGCAGAAATCTGGCTTTTAAATGGTGAATATGAATGACAGTGCAAAGGGCTTATATTCATAATCAGCTTTTTGTTAGATGTCCGTGCCAGTTTGTCACATTTAGTTATAGTCTGACATAAGAAATAAATAGGAACTGGATATATATTCAACCAAGAGTACATTTCCAGGTCATTTTTTCCTGTGTGGTGCAATCCTTGGGCATTGTCTTGTGTTTAATCTGTGCTGAATTCCAGCATCCTCGTCTTATTTGTACTTATTTGAAAAATGCAAGACTCGCACTTTGAGTCAGTGGATGACTTCACTTTGTAGTTTTTATTTATTTGTTTTACTTCCATAAGGTACAGTTTTAAGTTTGATGTTAAGACTACAGTCAGAAATGCTCTGCACACTCTGCCTGGTGGCACAACATGTTCCTAGGCAAGGGAGAGGATAATGGAATATTGAAAAACCCCACTTTCGGGCAAGAACACAGTTAAAAATTGGTATGTTATTAGCAAAAGCAAGTATAAAACAAGCCTAGGAGATTGATGCTACATAGAAATATCTATTGAAACATCACCTGGCTTTATTTCTTAATGTAAATTACCTGTGACCTGGCTGCAACATGATGTAGTGCTCTGAATGCTTTGGAGTGTTTTCAGGTGGGTATAAAGAATCGGAGTACTTGCTCTGTTAAAGGTCAGAGTACAGAGGCTGACTGAACTGCAGTACTCAGATGGTAGGAATGCCTGAGAAGATGATGCTTAATTGTTACTTGCCTAGTGGACTTGAATATTGTGTGTTTAACTGCTGATGTTTTTGACAGGGCAAAAAAGATGTCGCGCAAATTTTCAACAACATTCTCAGAAGGCAAATTGGTACAAGAACTCCCACGGTTGAATACATCTGCACCCAACAGAATATATTATTCATGCTATTAAAAGGGTATGTACACTGTGAAGCATAAATAGGCTTTTACATTAAGTAAGAAGTTGTTCATTTTGTTTGTCTTGGGGCCTGTAATTCCCCTAAGTAAAGGAAAATTTGAGTAATAAACTGCCAAAAATACACTTTTGCATGAAATGTGACTGAAAATTGAGAACTGTTAGTAACTATAAATATCATTACGGAGGTAGGGCACACATTTTCCTTTCAAAATACTGTTTGATCCTGTTTAAATAGCTATTTTATGCTGGACTTAACTCCTTCATCAGGAGTTAAAGGCTGTTTTTTTTCTTTAACCATTGTAATTTCCAGTTTTCCATCTTACCCCCAGTTCTTAGACTTCTTATTCATAGGCATTTATATTTCTGTAGTGACACAAATGCACTAACTCAAACCTGACCAAACAAAGGAATGATTTGGGGCATATGGTGCATGCCAGATGACTGTTTTTTTCCTCTATTCTTGTATTGTCTGTTGTGCTGGATATTGGAAAATCATGCCATCTCAAATAGGCATTTGCACATGTAGAGCTGTGAACCTCAAACAGGAAAGCAGAAAGGTGGTGTTAACATTTTCATGTTAAAATAAGATTTAAAAAAAACCTGAGAATGTGCTCTCTCTAATTAAAAATAATTGCTCATGTTTCTGATATAATTTACTAAGAAAGTCCTGAAAATTGCAATTCTGCTGTGTTATTTTGGGGTAGAGAAGTTAATTTAAAAATTAATCATTTAAAAATTCAGCTATTTCAAATACTAGTTTTATAGTTTGTGTTGAAGGTGCTGAGTAAGCTTACTGCAATTGATCAGTACTTTCTCCACCTACTGGGATTGGGTATGAAAAGGTTCTGCTTCCCAGCAAGATACTTGCCTGTGTTATGGTAGCGTTGAGATATGAGGACAATCAAATATAATTTTAAATATTTAAACAGGAAGCTTTTTTTTTTCCTTTTCTCTTCTCCTAGTTCATAGTTAGTCATTAGAGATGTTGACTTACCAGCGTGACACATATGCTGAATTAATTTCATCTGTTTTATTGTAATGTCTCTACATTTACCTAGTCTCGGCCACTGTGTAGGCCACTGGAAAGTGGATCATATAAGAAACCTCTGTAGAGAAAGCAGGAGGTTTACATCTTCTATTTTCCTGCTAGCTCCAAAGGCTTAGCACTAGAAGCAGTATGGAATATTTGCTTCAATTCATGACTGTAAGATGAACACTTGTCTGCCAGAAGTGCTCTGTTGGCTGTGTGGGTTTTTTTCCCCCTGCATTACAGCCCTGATTTTGGGAGGAAGTCAGATTTAAATATTAGAGGGACAAAATGAATATACTAATTGTGGCATAACGAAAGAAAATATTGATTCAGTACTTCTTAAAAATGAGTTGCAAAAGAAGGCAAAGACATTTGAGGTGCAGAGAGATGAGACTACTTTCTCAGCATGCTGTCTTTGATATGTGACTGAATGAGGGCTGTAACACATTCGTCCTTGTTTTTAGTCTGTTTGTCACTCTTCAGAGAACATTATTCTGACAGGGATCGTTGAACCACATATTCATAAATCAGGATGTTTGAAGTGGGCATTTAGTTAGCTTTAGTGACTTAAATGTTACATCTGGTATTCAACTGAGTCAAATTTATGTATGGCATGAGTTCCAAAAGTTCAGTACATTTCAAATCTCCATGACAGGTTAAATGGGAAAGTATTGCAGGATTTAACAGGGAAATTAATAACAAAATGTTGTATATGGTAATATAGTTAGCGCTTAGTGTGCACAATGATACTTTGCTGTTGAATTATTCTAGTGAATCTAAGTTAGCTGCCAATGGTATAGGAAAAAAGATTCTTTAGGTAGGAGGCCAGAAGGTATGTAAGAGGCTTTGACTGCTCCAGAGCCAGGTAGGTGGCAGCAGACCCAACTTTTCTGTAGGGTGGGATAGCTAGATTGCAACATGCTGAAATGGTTTGGAAAGTCCCATCTTTGTTCAGGTTCCAACTGTTGGCTTGCTTGGGAAAACGAAGACCTAGTAGCAAGTAGAAAGGTGCATTTCTGTCAAAAGTGTCTGAAACACACTGTTGTGAGAGTTTGGCAGCTGCTGTTGATATCTGCTAAAATCAACTGAGAGAACCCACTAGTATTTCAGCAAGAAAGCTTGCCAAGGAAGTGTAGTAACAATTTCTAAATGAAGCCATCAGGGATGGCTTCATTGCTTCCATCAAATCAGAGATGAACATGTTCCAGGGGCCTCTTGCTAAGTATCTGCACCTCCTTACTAGGGGTGATGAAGACTTGGGTGCGGAGATGATGTTTAATATTGTCTTTACAGTCAGAGGACAGTTGCCAGTTTTCAAGCTTGAAGCCCACGTAGCATGGAGGTGCCAGTGATGCTGAAAAATGGTTTCATTAAAGAGGAGACATGAATTTTTGCTCAGTATTGGTAACCCTTCATGCTTATATAGTGGTATATAAGTGGTATATAGTTTTATGTGGATTGCTGTCATGTTGAAGCAAACAGCTTTCAAGACAGAAATCTGTTACTGCTTTCCAGATGTCTTGAAATCCCACTGGTATGAAAAAAGAAAACTAATTTTGAGTGTGAAGGAAATATTTTTGGTTAGTCTTGCCTCTCAGTTTGCGAAAGACATTTGTATTGGCTGTAATTTGGCATTTAACTGGCAATTATTTCAGTAATATTTTCAAGAGGTATTTAAAAGTGGAGTTTAATGTTTAAATAAGTACCTCTAGTGTTTTGCATTTTTATTTACTTGGTAGTGCAGAAAATAAATCAGCCATCTGGTGTTGCACTGTGAACTTGTGAAAGTGTTTATAAAGAATCATTGTGTTTTGTTGTGTTGTTTTTTTTAATAGGTACGAATCTCCAGAAATTGCTCTAAATTGTGGAATAATGCTTAGAGAATGCATCAGGCATGAACCACTTGCTAAAATAATCTTGTGGTCAGAACAATTCTATGATTTCTTCAGATACGTGGAAATGTCAACATTTGACATTGCTTCAGATGCATTTGCCACATTCAAGGTAATTTACGTACAACATTTGAATTCTTATTTCTGTAGTTCTCTGCTTAAAGAACCCAGATATTGTTAGATTTTTGAGCAAAACAAGCCTGGAGGTGAGGGGGAGGGAGGAAAGGTGTGATGCAGATGGGTAAGTTGGACACTCTTAACTCCTTATTTCTCAGAATGCAAGACATTTCTTTATAAATAAAGAAATATACACACTGTGTTCCTGATAACTTTTATTCTGGAAAGCAAGATTACCATGCATTAGCTTAATATGTGTGCACTTCGGGGGCTTTTAAATTTGTGCCTCCAGCTCCTAAAATGAGCAAACTCCTTTTTATTGTGTTATGAACCTGGTGCTCACAGTTAGGGAAATTTTTTTGTTGTCCTAAAACAACCAGTTATGGGACTTAAAGTATAATATCAATCAGTATTAAATAGAGGGTCTTAATCTTGGTTGTATACAGTTCTGTGCATAGAGCATAGCCTTGATCCATAAATAGCATTCTGCAGTGATGATTCCACAGGCTGTTTACCTGTGTGACTTAACATAACACAGCAGACCTTTCCTGACTGGTGTCAAGATCCTTAGCCATGTCCAGGTAACTGCATTCATGTCCTAAATTTCTTTATTTAGTGAAATAGCAAGTTTTTCTATTGTCTGCCTTATGTGTACTCAGTGTTGAATGATAACGTATATGTACTATTGAAATATCTTAGTGACTGTATTGGTTTTGTGTTCTTTTACAGGATTTGCTTACAAGACACAAGTTGCTAAGTGCAGAATTTTTGGAACAACATTATGATAGGGTGAGCAGATATGTTTTAATATTCAATTTCCTAGTGCTCTGTATCTTATTTGAATAAATCAATATTTTTTTTCCTTGTTTAGCTTTCTTTTTGGACATTTACACACAATATTAAACCAATTGAACTTACAGTGATTGCTGCCGATCAGTGAAGATCAAGACCTTATTGTTGAATGCAGAAAGGTGTAAAAACAGAGAAGGTGGCAGAATCTAGTTATTTGAAAACTAGATCTGATTTTTCCGCTAGAGGGAACCCTTTCCTTGTCTTTTTCTTTTATCTGTGCTAGCCCATAGAAACCACAGAATACAAGATAGCCCTTATCCACCTGCTGGGGACTCCTGAAATTAATAAGCAGTATTCAGTACCAGGAACTACTATGGTTTAAGAAATAAGATGATAACTATTTCCACCACGTTGCAGTCTAAATATTAAAAGCTCCTAAAAGAGAACACCAAATTTGTTTAAAGTATTTACAAGGTTTAAATAATACTGACTTACAGGAATCTACTTAGATTTCAGATTTTGTTTACTCTTTTGTTATGAAATTGCATCTGCTCCAGTTTATTGTAATCATTTGGAAGAAGAGCATGTATGATGCTTGGAAAGGTCCTGACCCTTCTCTTTTTTCTGTGTTTAGTTCTTCAGTGAATATGAGAAGTTACTTCATTCAGAAAATTATGTGACAAAGAGACAGTCACTTAAGGTAGGGCAATGTAATTTTCTTCTTAAATGCAAAGTTAGATAATTCCTTTAATTTCAAAGCTGGTTGACTTTAATTGAAGCTTCAGTAGCCACCTTGGATAGTGCTTATTTAAGTTTTTCATATGTTGATTTTTGGGATCAGCTGGTTTTCTTTTAGTCCAGTCCTTCCATTATGTAGTGTCTGGCACACACCAAGGCATTTCTCTCCCTGTTCAGAAACAGCTCAATGCAAGTGCAGGGGTTTTTGGTCAATTTTTTCCTTTAACAAATCTGGACACATTTAAATAATTTAATGAATATTCACATGATGTGACTAGAGCAATACAAATCTTAAATTCAAGTAGGTCATATGTAGTGAATGTAAATATAATACATAACTCACAGCAAAGGTGGTAGTTGTGGGGAATATATTTTTACTCCCTTCTGGACAGAGAAGGTAGCAAAAGAAGTGTAAATACTTCTCATTTGAAGTACTGACTTTTTTTTTGTTGTTGGCTGGTTTTGTTTGGTTTTTAAAACTACATTCTTATTGGTAATATATAGCTTCTGTATAAGTGAAAGTTATAGGATTGCTTTGGTTAGAAAAAACCCTTAAGATCATGTCCCTCAGCACCACACTTATACATCTTTAAATACCTTCAGGAATGGTGACTTGACCAGTTCCCTGGGCAGCCTGTTCCAGTGCCTGGTGACCCTTCAATGAAATCATGGGGAAAAAAGAATGAAAAAGACTTTTCATCAGTTTCAATTCATAAGAAGGGGTGGGGAAGGTGATTTTTCACTTGTTGAGAAAAAGGAGAAGCTGAGTCATCAAAATAAGAGTAAAACACACTTAGAAATTTGGGCATTTGAGTTCTGTTGTTGCTGTATTTACAGACTGGTGTGTTTTCAAGCACTTATGAAAAAGTTGTTTCTTATGTCCAGTGTCGGTAATTTTTTCATTTGGCCTTGCTTTCCACTTCTAGCTTCTTGGTGAATTATTATTGGACAGACACAACTTCACGATTATGACGAAGTACATCAGTAAACCTGAAAATCTCAAGCTGATGATGAACCTTCTACGAGACAAGAGTCGTAACATTCAGTTTGAGGCCTTTCATGTGTTTAAGGTATGTTTAAAAAAGCCCAGAATAAAATAAAGAACAAAAAGAACCCCACCAGAAGTTTTTCTGTTAAGTAAACTGTTCCGCTGAGCCTAAATGAAGTTTATCTTGATGTTTACTAAGTCACTAAATAAAGAAGAGTTCTTACGTTAGTCTTTACTATGATCCATCTTTACAACTAGCTATCTTTGTATCTTTTGAAAATTGTTTAGACTTTTAGGGATTTTCATAAGTTTGTCAGTGTTATTTATTAGAAAAGCTTGGAATTAAGAAAGGTGAATTGCAGTAAGAGAAGGAGGAATGCATGTTTTAATATGAAATCGTGAAGCGTCTTGGAGTTCCAGTGTTCTCTTCCATGCTTCATAATCTGTGAAGTATAGCAGTATTTTAATCAAGTTACTTAAATTTCAAAGCCTAAATTGTAGGTTGCACATTGTAACAGATACCTTCTTGCTTTGCAGCAAACAGGCAAATAGCTAAGAGTTTGGAGATAGAGTTTGAAGTATAAACGTTTTCAGTGACCTTTAGGATGCTGTATATAATCTGAAGCCGTGCATTGCTGCATGATGTAACTGTGAGGGGTCTCTAGTGGTTTCTGCTGAGAGTGCTGTGTTTGTCACCTCCCACAAATTGAATTTACTTTGGTACTGCTGTCCAGTTTCTATTCTAGTAAGAAAGCAGACTAATTTTTTTTTAAAACATGCATTTACTCCATTTTTTTTTGCTGTAGAGATACTTGAATATGGAATAAATGAAACATAATTTCAATTTACAATCATCACTGTTTTGTTGGCAAGGTTTCATTTTTGGTTGTGGTTGGGTTTTTTTAACTTGGCCTTCTGTTTCCTACGATTCTGCTAAATGCCTTTTATTTTCTTGCAGGTGTTTGTAGCCAATCCTAACAAGACACAGCCTATATTAGACATCCTTCTAAAGAACCAGACCAAACTTATTGAGTTCCTCAGCAAGTTTCAGAATGACAGGACCGAGGATGAACAATTTAATGATGAGAAGACCTATTTAGTTAAACAGATCAGGGATTTGAAGAGACCAGCACAGCAAGAAGCTTAATCTCCAATAAACCCTTAAAATATTAAACCCAAATTCAACATTTGCTGTTAGATATTCAGCATCAGGCACTCTTATCGATTCATGAGGAACATTACTGCTAATCTGCTGTTCAGTGAACGGTTTTTGTTTTTCTCTTTTCTTTTTTAGTCCAAGTTGAAAAACATAGCTGCTGCTTTCTTGCACAATGTGGACTTTCTTGATATTTGTGTCATTTCAGAATTCAAAGACACTGCTTGTTTTAAGAGTCCTGAAAAGAAAGATTCTAGGTTCGTGAAAGCAAACATATAGATACTAGTTTGGTTTAGGAGAGGTGGTGTTCATGTAGTTAAGTAACAGGTTGCATGCTTGCAAATCTGAATAAATCTGTATGTTTGCACTTAACCTTGTTTGAGATATGAGCACAATGTGACCTGTGCATACCTGGCACCATAGTATAAGATTATATGCCTTGATTTAAAAAAAAAAAAAAAGTGCAGTGCTTTATTTGTAATCAAGGGGAAATGTATCCAAGATGTGAGCTTACTGGGATAAACAGTTGTCTTGCAAATAAACTGATATTGAAACTTAGCAACCTTTAAAAGAGTGAAATCTCAAGGTTCATAAGGAAAATGTATATAGGCCTTTCACTGCTTTATAGATTTTTTTTTTTTTGACATGATTTGATTTTCTGAGAAATTACTTGTAAACTTGGAAATATGTTCTAAGGGGTTTTGTTAATTTTACTTTAAAGGTATTTCAGACAGTAGACCTAGCAGTGACATTTTGCATTTCATTTCAATGATGCTTGCTGGTTTCTTTTGTATATAACTCCTAGGCTGCTCATTTCTTTAAAATATGATTTAATTTGTACAGCAGAGGAATGTTATTGTATTAGTCTGTAACTATTACCTAATATTGAGTTTTGCAAAATGAATGCTCATATGTATTGAATACTTCAGATCACATGGAAATGCTGATTTAACGATCTTGAGTACTGCAGCATTAAAAGGAAAAAAAAAAAACAACCCCAAACAAATTCTTCGAATTCACTTATCTGATGGGGTGCCATCAGTTAGGGTAGGCTGAAGTAGAGAACTGGAACCCTTTATACTACATTCTTACTGGATAATATTGGCCTTATTCAATTAAACTAGGATTGTGCTCACCAGCTCTGCAAATGGCAATGATTAAGCTCAATTAATATTGATTTCTTTTACTTCTGAGGAGCCTGTAGTACGTAATTTCTTTCTTACAGTAAATAACTCAGTGCAGTAGTTGTGCCAGTGAATGATTTAATTCCCTGCAACTTCAAGAAACAATTTAATGTCCCGAGGGTAACAAAATAATTTGATTTTGCAGATTTTTTTCTTTAATGCTGCAATCTATCAGTATTTATAAAAACTTGCACTGTGTACTGTGACCATACAAAAGGAATCTACTAAGGATAGCTAAATGATGTTATTAAAATTGTATCTACCCATCATACAGTAATGTTAAGATCAAAAGCAAACAAACTTATGGATTGGAGTCTCAAAAGTTCGAATTCTGCATGGCTGAATCTGATTGAGAATGCTATAGAAAGTGTTTGTTGCTTCCTGTCCTCCTTCTAATTAAAATACTGTGCAATCAGCAAGATTAAACTCCTAAGTTATGTTTAAGCTGATTTGAAAGCCTTCACAAGGGAAGTCAGGTGGCTCCAGAAAATTGAGTGGTTTCACTCAGTTGTTTAAAATTGCTCTTAACATTATAATTGGTCTTTTACAGGTTCTTAACATGTCCTTTGCAAATCGATTCATTTTGCCTACAGGAAAGGAAAGAGCTTACTCTTACTGAGGATTGCTTAGGCAGAATTGGCCATGAGGTGGCATTGTAGTTCAGTACTAACAGGCTGTTATATTTTGATTTATCATAGCTGAGTGGAGGAAAACATTATTTGCCAAGTTATTCACCATAACATGTAAGGCTTCCTCTTTAGAAAAATGTAGATGTGCTAAAGATTTCTGTATGTAAAGAAGTGAAAACATGGACTGGGATAGAAGTTACTCTATATTAGGCCTTGGAAACAATGGCTACAGTGACTTTTTTAATATGTGGAAACATTTGAATGTTGGCTTTCGAAAAGAAGTTGTATTTAAATTAAAGCTCATTTGATGTGCTCTTCGTATCAAAAACTATTGTTCTGGAAGTGGTTTCTTATCTGCTTGAAGGCTTAAGGGTGTTACTAAAAGTTATTTAAATGTGAGCGGGTTTTGGTTTTTCTTTTTTGTTTTTCTTTTTTTTTTAAATTTTTAATAAGAGATGTATACAATTGTAATTCTACTTCCGTGGTAGCATTTCATTTCTCCTGAGGAAAATGCATTTCTTATAAAAAAAAATAAAAATCTGGCTGGCCCCATAATTTAAATTGAAATAAAATTTTGAAGAAAAACGTGTGTTCTTTACTGTGTTACTGAAGAGAATGAGCTTTCTCTGGATGTGTCTGTTCTCCTTTATTGCCTTAGAGGGCTTCACCTTTCTCCCTTTTTAATGTGAAATAATTTAAAATCATTAAAGACTCTGGCCTGCAAAAACGTTTTTAAGGAATTAAGGCAAAGTGCTGTATTAGGCAGGTAATAAATTTTAATTAAATGTTGGTAGTCTCTCTTGCCTATTTGTAGTATTACTTTTATTGATTCTATTATTTTTTTGCATGACCAAAGGCAAAGTGAGGAGATGCCATTTCCTGAGTCATGTCTAGAGGCAGGACCTGATAGGATTGGTTGGAGTGAATCCGTGAATCCTTGATTTTTTGCCATTCTCTCTAAATATCAGGAGCTGGAAAGTGGGTGTAACTGGTACCTCTTTCCTTAGGCTCTCCTTTGATCTCTTTGCCTTTGAAAGCTGTCTGTTTTCCACAGGTAACACCCCAAGTTATACAGAGTGGCAAATGTCCAGAGAACATGTTGTATTTTAAAAAAAAAACCCACAAAAAAAGAAACAACACCAAAACATTCAGTTTCTGATGCAGATTCTTCAGATTGTTTTGTTTAGCAAAATGACTGAAAAGTCTGCTTTCCTGCCAGGAACATACTTACCTTGCAGGCAGAAATATTTGCTCTTTCATAGGCCCCACTAGATGTTACACTTGTTTGAGCCTTTATATAAAATGTATGTTCTCCCTTGCTGACAGTAAGATGACAGGTTACAAGGGAAATGAGTAATTTATACTTCCAGTCAAGCAAATTGCAAATTTTAATTCAAGAATGGTCAAATTGTGTACTTGACTGGGTGTTTGAATGACATGGCCCCAGTGGGGAGAGGCATGGAAATGCAAGGAGGTGTTGCACTGATTTCTTAAAATCTGTTTTCCCTGCAGAGCTGATCAGCAGGACCTACCTTAGGAGTTGCCATCTCTAGGAACCAGTGGAAGTTGCCCTCGGAGCCCACGGGAGCAGGTCATGGACAAAGCTACTTTCAGTAAGTTGCCTCTGTGGCCAGCCAAGTCATTCCTAGTCAGCAAACTTCACCAGTCTTCCTGTTGCTGCTACCCCTTTTCCCCCTTTATTCTAGGCCTTTGCTGGTTGCTTTGTTGTAACATTTTGCTTTCCGTACTGCTTTCCCTTCCGTGGCTGTTCACTCGAGCTGCTGCCATCGTTGTGTGCAGTACCTTTATTTTCTGTCATAATTTTGGGTATTTCTCATTATATTTCTGTACTCTTTTCTCCAAGAATTTTGATCTTTGCAAAGCTTGTTTGAGTGCTGTTTCTCTTAGCTTTTCAGTATACTGTAGCTTAAGTTGATGGTTAGTATAATGAGGAAAAATTAACCCTATTCTTTTGCATGTTACCTCTTAAAAAAAAAATATCTGCATTAATATGAGCTTGTGAAAAGTCATTCCTAGTGTATGAAATCTGTATTCACAAGTGTACCTGGGTAGATCCAGTTTCAATCCCATGTCAAAATATAAAAAAATTGAAACTAGGGAAAG